TAACAGTGGCTTTACTTAGGAAATGAAAGGTTTGTTGTGATATCCAAAGGGGGTGATTGTTTTCAACTGGGAATCCCTGATGGACTTTGAGATCAGGAAATGGTGGCATGTTACCTATGTTACTGGGATTTACTTATGAGCATGACACGAGGTTCATAGTGTTACATGTCTCTGAAATAAAGTGTTACAATGCAGAATGTGTGTGCCTGACTTTGAGATATTGTCTCTCAGGTCTCATTAACATCAGTTTATGGCTGCCATAAACTTAAACTTTAGAAAGTGTTCCACTGATGGATATCCACTGACTTTTATTAGACAAATATGCTTTGAACTAGTTAAGGACTGTCCCCTGTAGCCCGACTTTGTTTTACATTGCAGCACATATTGCGGTGGTAGAAAACTGACTGCTTTTTGAAACATGCTTTAAGTGTTAAAAAGTCAATATATTAACACTTTTTAGAATCACTTTTCAATTTCCTAGAAATTCTAGACAGACTCGGAATGGTCATATCCTTGTTTCAGGGCAACCATGAGGTTTGGCTTTGATTGATGGACTGTTGGCCTTACCATATTTCTTTGTTTAAGGAACAAAAAATTATTTTTGATTAAAGCAACATTACAAATATTTAACTACTACATCACAATAATAATAATAATAATAACAATAATAATAATAAATTTTCTCCCTCTTACAAAATTCTTGAACGTGCCAAGGCTAATGAAGTCACACACGTGTATATTCCGTTAAAAGCATGTTTGTTTACAAGAAAGTTCTTTGCAAACTGACAATTCAGTTACAGTTGTTGCTTCAACTAACGGTTTATAAATGCAGATGACATTTTTAACCTTATAATAGAAACTTCCAAAAGAGAGAAAAACGAGGTATATTTGGTCTTTCTTGGAACATTTCGTCGCTTGCCGAGGACGTTGTAAACCCGGTAACATTGCCTGTGTTGTTGAACTAAAATGACTGGTATTTTTAATAAGAGATTGTTTTATGGTATATATTGCTGATTTTTGGAAGATCATATGGCAGACTGTTTTTGTTCGAGCGAAGTCTCGAAATTGGAGATCACCAGTATCCAGTTCACTAAGAGAAAGTTGTTGACACGCTCCAGGTTAGTTCACGTATCGTGGAATTTGTTATAAAACAAGCATAGAATCGAGGAGCGGGACATTTTACATAACTGCATGCGTCACAGGTGAAAACTACAACAACAAGAACCACTTAATTAGTATCTAAATATATAGTTAGGAAATAAATAACGAGAGAGAGAAATAAGGAGAGGAAGAAAACTATAGGGAAAGATATAATTATACAATAAATAAATAAATAAATAAGAAAAACATGGACAGCAACACCCACAATATCAAAAATATAATCTTACTTTCACGTTTATGCGTGACTTAAGTGTTAGGTAGCTATGACGAATCGATCGACTAAAACAAAATCACAAAAGCTAATTATCTTGTAGATAAAGCACACTTTTTAATACGCAATTTCAGTTGGCACAGTGTCAATAGTGAGGTGTTAAATCACGAAACTAGACTACGCAAAGGTCTTTTTTTTTCTATCAAGTTATTGGTAGAAATTGGTCATATGATGTAGATCTATAACGGAAACGGCAATTTGTGATCATTATTTTGAGACTGAGCACTCTACGTTTCAAAACACTCAGCTGATTATACCCTTTAAAATCGTTTTGACACTACATGACAAAGCTAAAATTTCTATTGGAAGCGCATAGCGCTGATTAGACACTCTCTTGAACCAAAATGATGCAAAATTGTTGAAATAGCAAAGGGTCACAGCCAGACATGCAATATTTCGGAAAACTCAAAGCCACTTGATACAAAACCTAGCAGAAAACATGCATTTCTCTCAATATGGAACAGCATTAATGGTCTATCAAGTACAGGTTATTGAGACTATAGACTATTCGGAAAATTTATTTTTTTTAGCAGAAGACATGCCAAGGCCACAATGTCGTGAATAGGAGTAAGTCGTCACCTCAGGGAGACTGGGGAGTAAACTGTGGAATCGCTTGGAAAGCTGGTGCGCACCTCGATATTTAATTGTAATTAACATGCCTTTGTGGCTTCAAAATTGGCAGCCTTACTAATTTCATGACTTACATCATTTCCAACTTGTTTATATTCCATACCACGGATTTTGTTCTCTATGACAAGGTCATACAACCGGATTCTACAAGAGGTCTTATGGTGGATGGTTGCCTTGGAAACCATCCCAGGAATTCCAATGCTGGTAACCTGTACTCAGTCTCTTGGAGTGGCCAGTTTTGGAGCTAATTTCATTCAAGGACAATCGATTTTGATTTTACAGTTAACAGGCCAGGTCGGCACTTAAAAATGTTTCAGGATTTTTAGTGGTGGAGCAGTGAGTAAATGGAGTAGTGTGTAGTACAAAGTTAAATCCCAATTGCAGGAAAACTTACAGTAAGAGTAAACCACAAAAAAAAATCGATAAGGAAGAACTTATAAGATAGAGAAAAATTAAGAAGGATTGTAAATGAAAAGTTGAAATTGTTTTGCTAAATTTTCAGGATTCGCTTTCCACTATCAAAATAGCTTCTTTAGCTAAATTTGTTAAGCTGTCTTCTTGGGATCTTCATCATTACTCTTCAATTTTCATGTCGAAGTTAACGTACTCCTTGTCATCATACTCGTCCAAGTCTAGATACATCTGCAGATAAATTAAAATAGATATAAAGATGTAAGAACTCGCTTAGTACTATATTCTTCGTGGGGCCACTGTTCTTTAAATAGTTGAGATAAACTGTAAGTAGCCCGGGGGACCCGTCACCTTCCGTTTTCAAGCCCGAAGGGCCAAAATCTTTTGGAGCCCCTACCTTAATTTAAAGCCCGAAGGGCCGATTTAATTTAGGAGGAGGTCCAGATTCGCCACTGGGATCAAAACTTTGACGTAGTCCACAACGGCACAGACACTAGACTCCCCGGCGGAGAATAGGGAAGCCCTTCCTTGCGGATTTCTGAGGAAAAAACGCAAAAAACTGCCAAAGGAGGACCCAAGGTTTAAATTAAAATTCAATAACATGAGAGGAAAAACACGCCTGAGAGAAAATCAACGCTTCGCTGGAAGCTTCGTGCAGTTAAGAAACACTACTATAGGGTAGTGAGCGGGTAGCTATATTTGAGATGACGTTGAATTACATCAACTATTTATTCCAGGGAGCGGTTAGCATTGTGCGAAACGTCTCGCCAATGGCAAAAATCTATGGAACATACAACTTCCAGAATTGTTTGTTCCTTCACGTATGATATTTTTTGTATCATAGACTAACACGTTTCTCAGAGCGTAAAGACTTTATATTACAAACCTTTTGATCGTCCAGCAGTCTTCTGACCGCAAAGCAGAGCCACTGGAAAGTTGGCCTCTTTTGAGGCTGCTCTTCCCAACACTCAGTCATGATGGCGTAGCTAAAAGAAAACAATCATATGTGTTTTGTTTTGTTTTTCTTTTTACCTCATTTTCTTTTAATCTCCATTTAAATACAGAGCAACTGCGTCTTACGGTCACTTCCTTACACGGCCACCTTATTCTGCCCGTCAGTCAGTCATTTTCTTATTTAAAGAACCCCTTTAATACGGTTACTCAGTTAACATGGCCAGATTTTGTACATGTGGCCCGTTGGTGACCGGATAAACGGGGTTTCACTGTAATTCCTCTTAGCGAGAACCCCGAACTAACGGTTTGATTTTATACCCATTTCTCGAAGGATGACACGGTTTACTAAAGAAGCTACAGCAAGAATATAAATGTTAATTCAGCGAAATGTTTTATTATTTCGCTCGTAATGTGTCTGAGCCCTCTGAAAAATTTATATTCACATTCACGTCTACCGTACCACGATGGTTCTTTTCTGTCGTGTTAGTCTCTCATACCCAGTGTTATTACCGTTCTGTCTTGAAAAACTATCTTTGCATTTGCAGACGCTGGTCCGAAAATTCAGATGAATGTCAAACTCCCCCCCCCCTTAACTCTCTTATTTTCCTTTTTATTCGTCTTCTTGTTTTTCATCGCTTGGAGTGATTTGTGAGCCTTTCGAAGTCGTAAAATAAGCGTGTGTGGCTCACTTGGTGCAAAGCGACACATTTTTCATCACCACCACACCGTTTTCACAAATCCACTCATGCAATTTTGCAACAGTTATAGTACTCGGTAGACCTTTTTTAAAACTTTGCAAAGGGTGGTATCTTAGCACGCTGCTCACAATTCAACAATATTTAATGGTGTTTTTACTTTCCATGCGTTTCATACTATTATTGAAACATTATTGACTGACAAAGCAGTGATAGTACTGGCTTATCAACGTGAACGTGTTGCCAAGTGCGCATGCTGACTTGAAACCCGTGCCAGCCACCTCACAGAGGCCAGCCATCTTGCAAATTTGTCGTATCACTAAAATAAGAGTGGAATTCATTAGTGCGTGAGCCGAGAAATAGGGAAAATATGTAAATTCTGCACCGCAGACTTTGTTCATTTTTTTTTTTAACCAAACAAAATAGAGAATAAAGAAATGGTATAGACTGAGTGATCTATCAAAAGTAAAACAGAGGTCACCAAAATACCACCAGTGTTAACGTTAAATTCATGCATAGCCTAAAAGCTACCTAACCTACTAATTCAAACCAATTGAGTCTATGCAATATGTTGCAGGGAGAAAATATTACCTAGCAATAGAGATTTTTCGAAAAAATGGTCATGTTGCATGTCATATGCCCCTAGTGTGTGCCAACCTTATGCGCACGAAGAATTCGCGTTCAGTTCCTTAGCATTCTAACAGAGTCCTTGAGAAATATAGAGAAATCAGAATAATATTCAACCTGGATGCGAGGCAATTTCGGAAAGAATCCACAAAATTGCCTAACAACCAAGTTAGATCTTGCTGTAATACAAATGAGTCAGCTTACAGTGGAAAGGGCTATTTACGTGCATTCTGATTTTTCGAAGAAAGGTGACAAATAGTGTGCGCACATTAGATAGACGGGGAGACGCAGCCTAAAGTACTCACAGTTCTTCAGAGAGGTGCCTTGGCCTCGGCATGCGGTATCCTGTCTGCAGCAGGTTAGCCACTTGTCGAGCAGGTATACCAGGATAAGGCGACTCACCTGTCAACGTAAAATCATTTTTACCATAACTGCAGAAATTCTCGCGGGCTCTTTGGCTAATTTTCATTGTCAATAAGCGGACAGACACATGAATTTATAATTTATGCGATTCGTCAACGAGCGAGAGCGGACAATTTGGTAATTTGTTATATCGTAAAAAAACAAATTGCCGTCAGTTTTTCACGCGTCTGTCCTGTTACTGACATTGAATTTCGTCATAACATTTTCAAAATAGTCTGCGGATCCTAACTACTAGCGGATCCAGCTACTTTGACAATGTTATGACGAAATTCATTGTGACTACCAGAAACTGCCTCACATGCATGCTGGATTCTCTATTTTCCAATTTCCAATAATTCACTGTTTGCCCCCAAATTTTGCATAAACCATTGTCATGAAATGCTCATTGGAATATGCAGACCTCCCAAGAGCATCTCACAAAAATAGCTCATGCAAAATCTGGGGGCAAACAGAGTTTAAAATGGGCAACGGAAAATAGAGATTATACCAGTTGAGATGCAAATTAGAAGAGTTAGCAGTGAAAGAGCTATTAATGCTCTTTGTGATATCTACGGCACATGCTTAAGGCATAAAGATAATTGAAGCTCATTTCAAGTTATAATAATTGGCCATTTCGTATTCTCGTTATTGGACTAGAATTAACCTGTAACTGAGGTTAATGCGGGGAGTCGTTTCATAAATGCAAATGACATTGTTCTCTTTTTAATGATATTCCCCCTGTTGCGGTTATTTCGTTTTCCTTTGTGTTTTTTCTGCTCCGTATGTTAATGCCATTTCTCAGATTCTGCATGCTTTCATTTTTAGCTTCGTATGTAAATTTCGTCCCGTATATATTCGTGTTATCTTTCCATTTTCATCTGAGTCAATTTATCGTCCCTTACCCTTGTAACATTTTTTTGGTTCCCTGAACCTCGCCTTTCCAGCATTTGGTAAGCCGTTTTATTTCATCGTCTTTTTTGCATTTCCTTTTAGTTTTCTGTTCTCTTTGGTCAGTTATTTTGTAGTAATTCAATTTATGTTTATTTCTAGGAATTTACCTTCTTACTTAAGAAAGTTATAAAATTTGCTGGACCTAAGTGGAATTCATCTAAGTTGCAACAGAAGTCGGCCCTCTGCCTCTTCACCCCCTCATGAGCCTCCATTCCAGTTGGTGTCTATCATTTTCCTCATCGAGAGCACAAGGCGCCCTCATTTTAAAGAATGTTTTCAGTACAAAAGGAAACAAACAAACAAATAAACAAAGAGAGCGAGAAAAGATGTATTTCTACAGATAAACAGACTATGGACGATTAATTAAGGAACCAAGGGACCTCTATACATCTGAAAAGGTAAGGAGAAAGTAATGTGTAGGTAAATGTGAGCATTTCGAAATAATTTTACATACCGATGGTAAACACTTCCCACATCACGATGCCGTATGACCATCTGGAAAATACAAATATTACAATATTAATAATATGCATGAAAACATTACTCGATTCTGATTGGCTGGGAGCATAGCAGTTCAAGTGCCGAACATCAGTGCAGTTGAAGTGTATCACCAGTGCAAATTACACATCGTAATTCTGGATTATGATTGACTGAAAGACAATAGGAAATTTTCTAAGCCAGTGATGTCACCTAAAATAATGACGAAAATTTTGTGCGGAAACTTTGAAAAAAGTTTTTCCGAACAAGAAAAAACGGTTTCGAGAAAGATCGTCCGGCACTTCCTCCACGCGAATGTTTTCATGTGTATATTATTCCGTCGAAGCAATTTCAGCTTTTTGAAAAACTCCAGTAGTACAAATTACAGTCGAAAGTCCCGTACGCGACCACCCAAAATGTCAAGCCTAGGTGGTCGCTTATGGGAGGTGGTCGCTTAGGAGAGCTTAGACCATAATGGGTCAAAATTTTTCCTCATTAGAATACGGTAACTGCCGAGACTTAACCCATGCACCGATGCCGGTGTAATGTTTTATTCATGTAGAAGTCAATTTCGAGAAAAAAATCCGGTTCTTCCCATAGAGGAATTTCCGTTTCTTGTACTAGCCAGGATTTCGATAATGTTACAACACCTTATTATCCGTTATTCGCTCCATTACCTGTCAAATGGTCGCTTACGAGAGGTTAAAAAAAGGAAAGTTTCAAACTTTTAGCTCTAAAAGTGGTCGCGGTCGCTTACGAGAGGTGGTCGCTTACAAGAGGTCTCAAATATAGTGATTTGACTAGGAAACTTTTGGCATTTTGGAAAACTGGTCGCTGAGGAGAGGTGGTCGCTTACGAGAGATGGTCGCAACAGGAGGTTCGACTGTAATTCCAAATTGAACTCGAAACCGTATAATAACCGATACTGAAAATCCCAGGTTGCTTTTCATGTAATCGTTAACAGCGTCTCAACTGACTGCAAAATGAACAAATGAACTACAGTACATGTATTGAAGGCGTCCCCAACTACAGGGTAGTTTCAAAGGAATCAACGCCTTATTAAAGTGAGACAGAGACTGTTTTGGAATAGTTTTCAGGAAAATTTTATTCTCATTATAATAAGTGAAAAAAAAAAAAAAAGAAAGTATAACAGGAACAAGAGCGTGAGAAATTTACTAAGCTTGGCAAAATTGAGCCAACTTACACGTCACTCATAGTACTGGATTCATCAGAGAAAAGAGATTCCGGAGGCATCCACTTAGCTGGAAGACGGGCCTTGAAATTAAGAAACAGAGCAACTAAAACTACACAAGCAAGATAAAAAATGACCAGAATTAATTAAATAAATTGAAGAGTTAAATAATTGTAATTAGAACAGCTCGAATATTAAACCGAATATCAGGACTTGGATAGATAGGTGCATAGAGAGATCGATCGATTGATAGATAGGTAGTATCAGTGAGTAAAGAAACAAACAAATAAAGCAAAACCAAATAAATGCTGAAGAAACGAACGAACGAAGAGAGAATAAGATATACATGTACTTAAGGTCATTCCCCAGTATTGCATTGCGCATCCCTATTGCGCATAATTTCACGCGTGATTAGCGCGCGCGCATTA